ATCACCCCTTGACATGTGTATTCATCATCTTAGAGGCTGCCAACTTGTTGGCAGCATGAGCTATTACCCCTTCACATTTGTACTCATCATCCTAAAGGCTGCCAACTTATTGACAGCATGGGCTATTAAATCTTAAAACTTGTATTCTTTAGAGTAAAGGCTGCCAACTTGTTGGCAGCAAGAGCTCTTACATCTTAAAACCTACATTTATCATCATAGATGCTGCCAACTTGTTGGCAGCATGAGCTATTAAACCTTAAAACTTATATACTTCATCCTAGAGGCTGCCAACTTGTTAGCAGCATGAGCTATTAACCTTTAAAACTTGTATTCTTCATCGTAGAGGCTGCCAACTTGTTGGCAGCAAGAGCTCTTACAACTTAAAACCTACATTCATCATCATAGAAGCTGCCAAATAAAACTTGTTGGCAGCATGAGATATTGTATGTTTAATTTCTTGCTCTGCATCGTAGTCTACGAAGTTCTTGGTAGCATGAGCTGTGTATATACAGGGTAATTCAAATTCGACCCCCACCATTGGGATCTCAGAAACCATAAGAGGTACAGAAATGGTTAAATGGGGGCAAAGTTGTGTATCTTAGAACTCATCATTTTCCAACTAAGTTTATGGATCTATTCAAGAAATGGTCTACGAGAATTTTCTCTACATTTTCGTTAATTTCAATATTTTCAACATCGTAATCTTCATCTTGGTTAGGTGTTTGCAGCAAGAGCTATCACCCCTTGACATTTGTACTCATTATTCTAAAGGCTGCCAACTTGTTGGCAACAAGAGCTTTTACATCTTAAAACCTACATTTATTATCATAGATGCTGCCAACTTGTTGGCAGCATGAGCTATTAAACCTTAAAACTTATATACTTCATCCTAGAGGCTGCCAACTTGTTAGCAGCATGATGGTAGCATGAGCTATTAACCTTTAAAACTTGTATTCTTCATCGTAGAGGCTGCCAACTTGTTGGCAGCAAGAGCTATCACCCCTTACATGTGTATTCATCATCTTAGAGGCTGCCAACTTGTTGGCAGCATGAGCTATTACCCCTTCACATTTGTACTCATCATCCTAAAGGCTGCCAACTTGTTGGCAGCATGAGCTATTAAACCTTAAAACTTGTATTCTTTAGAGTAAAGGCTGCCAACTTGTTGGCAGCAAGAGCTGTTACATCTTAAAACCTACATTTATCATCATAGATGCTGCCAACTTGTTGGCAGCATGAGCTATTAAACCTTAAAACTTATATACTTCATTCTAGAGGCTGCCAACTTGTTAGCAGCATGAGCTATTAACCTCTAAAATTTGTATTTTTCATCGTAGAGGCTGCCAACTTGTTGGCAGCAAGAGCTATCACCCCTTGACATTTGTACTCATTATTCTAAAGGCTGCCAACTTGTTGGCAGCATGAGCTATTAAACCTTAAAACTCATATACTTCATCCTAGAGGCTGCCAACTTATTAGCAGCATGAGCTATTAACCTTTAAAACTTGTATTCTTCATCGTAGAGGCTGCCAACTTGTTGGCAGCAAGGGCTATCACCCCTCGACATGTGTATTCATCATCTTAGAGGCTGTCGACTTGTTGGCAGCATGAGCTATTACCCCTTCACATTTGTACTCATCATTCTAAAGGCAGCCAACTTGTTACGAGCATGAGCTATTAAACCTTAAAACTTGTATTCTTTAGAGTAAAGGCTGCCAACTTGTTGGCAGCAAGAGCTCTTACATCTTAAAACCTATATTTATCATCATAGATGCTGCCAACTTGTTGGCAGCATGAGCTATTAAACCCTAAAACTTATATAGTTCATCATAGAGGCTGCCAACTTGTTACCAGCATGAGCTATTAACCTTTAAAACTTGTATTCTTCATCGTAGAGGCTGGCAACTTGTTGGCAGCAAGAGCTATCACCCCTTGACATTAGTACTCATTATTCTAAAGGCTGCCAACTTGTTGGCAGCATGAGCTATTAAACCTTAAAACTTGTATTCTTTATAGTAAAGGCTGCCAACTTGTTGGCAGCAAGAGCTCTTACATCTTAAAACCTACATTTATCATCATAAAGGCTGCCAACTTGTTGGCAGCATGAGCTATTAAACCTTAAAACTTGTATTCTTTAGAGTAAAGGCTGCCAACTTGTTGGCAGCAAGAGCTCTTACATCTTAAAACCTACATTTATCATCATAGATGCTGCCAACTTGTTGGCAGCATGAGCTATTAAACCTTAAAACTCATATACTTCATCCTAGAGGCTGCCAACTTGTTAGCAGCATGAGCTATTAACCTTTAAAACTTGTATTCTTCATCGTAGAGGCTGCCAACTTGTTGGCAGCAAGAGCTATCACCCCTTGACATGTGTATTCATCATCTTAGAGGCTGTCAACTTGTTGGCAGCATGAGCTATTACCCCTTCACATTTGTACTCATCATCCCAAAGGCTGCCAACTTATTGACAGCATGAGCTGTTAAACCTTAAAACTCATATACTTCATCCTAGAGGCTGCCAACTTGTTGGCAGCATGAGCTATTAAACCTTAAAACTTATATACTTCATCATAGAGGCTTCCAACTTGTTACCAGCATGAGCTATTAACCTTTAAAACTTGTATTCTTCATCGTAGAGGCTGCCAACTTGTTGGCAGCAAGAGCTATCACCCCTTGACATTTGTACTCATTATTCTAAAGGCTGCCAACTTGTTGGCAGCAAGAGCTCTTACATCTTAAAACCTACATTTATCATCATAGATGCTGCCAACTTGTTGGCAGCATGAGCTATTAAACCTTAAAACTTATATACTTCATCCTAGAGGCTGCCAACTTGTTAGCAGCATGAGCTATTAACCTTTAAAACTTGTATTCTTCATCGTAGAGGCTGCCAACTTGTTGGCAGCAAGAGCTCTTACAACTTAAAACCTACATTCATCATCATAGAAGCTGCCAAATAAAACTTGTTGGCAGCATGAGATATTGTATGTTTAATTTCTTGCTCTGCATCGTAGTCTACGAAGTTCTTGGTAGCATGAGCTGTGTATATACAGGGTAATTCAAATTCGACCCCCACCATTGGGATCTCAGAAACCATAAGAGGTACAGAAATGGTTAAATGGGGCAAAGTTGTGTATCTTAGAGCTCATCATTTTTCAACTAAGTTTATGGATCTATTCAAGAAATGGTCTACGAGAATTTTTTTCTACATTTTCGTTAATTTCAATATTTTCAACATCGTAATCTTCATCTTGGTTAGGTGTTTCATCTGTTGTGAAGGATAGATTATAACGAACTCCAGAAGATAATTAGATATTATTTTATTAGTTATTATTATTCTAGCGAAAATGAATAAAAAATTCGACATAAACCATAGCGGTGAAATGCTTAGAATGTTCTAGAATCTATTTCGAGTATTATATTGACGACGCTCCCGTTCAATATTTTCAATAATATTGATTACTTCTTCTATAAGAATATCGTCAATAATGTCTTCTTACATTTTATCACATTTTATTTTAAAAAAACCAAACAAATCGACCAAAAGCAACCTATAGCATTTAAAATTTGTTTTCTGTCCAAAGGAAAGAGATGACTATGTTTTGGGCAACAAAACAATGTGCAATTAAACAGGGCTGCGGTCTAATCGTGAATAATGAAGTTGCAACTTCTAATGCCCGTCAGTTAAAGGGTGAAAAAGAGAGAGGAAGGTAATTTATACGTTGCTACCGGAATGGGGTGCAGTCCGTTTTGGTTCTGCATCACGTTTTTTTGGATGGATCCAGAACGTTCGTTTCCCTCGGGGCAAAATTCGATGAAAAACTAGCGCTTGTCAGGATTACAATTGTACTACTACTACTACTCGAGAGAAGTAGAGGGAAAAAGAATATGAAAAAAAAAACGAATGTAAAATGGAAGTGGTTATATTAAAAAAAGGGGAATTTAGAAATAAATCGAAAAAAGTGTCTCCAAAATTTGTTTTTGGTTAGTTCCAAAACCCTTTGTAATAATATATACACCCCATCTGTATTCATGCGTCGTTGCCCCCAAACAACCGTTCCCAAACCATGATTAACAACTTCAATAATAAATTTCAAAGGGCGATTGAATTTTCAATTAGCACTGTTTCGGATTAAAAAAAAATCGGGTGAATTTAAAATTTCAAACCGCGATTTTCACGTCTGCTAGCCGATTTTAATTAGTTTTCCTTGGAGAAAAGTTGTTGCCGGAATGAAACTTTGCTCTCTCCCCGTTTACGTTGGCGATGAAGAGGAAGGGGGAGGAGGCGCGCAGGTGACAGCCCTTAATGTACGACCTCGCCGTGGAGAAGAAGTTTTTGCCCTTCCCACTTCTCAAGGAACGTATAACTTCTCGCCCTGTATATCAACTGACGGCGATGTGACATCAACTTGCAGCCGGATTACGAACCTAATTAATTTGAGATAATCTCCAAACCCTCCCTTTTAGATGCCTCCAGTTATATTTCTTCCCAACGGATTGACGTCTCCACCATTTACATCAATCAAGGAGGAAATTTTAATTATGTTACACAATTTAGACAAAAATTAGTTCTTAAAAATATCTCTGGTGTGAATCTACAACGCGAACTGTGAGGTATATTACCCTTAATACGTTCCCTAGCACATTACCAGGTCACATAAAACGATCTGAACGACCGAAATATTTCACTGGAGGTACTAAGCGATATTAGAAAAGAAAATGCTTCATCAAGATTCCATTTACTAGGAGTTAGCATTAAATTATTCCGTTCTGAAAGAAATGCGAGCCAAAATTATCTACTTTAGACTCTAGACTATAATAAAAAGGAACAAATACGACTTGATAACTCCAATATTACTTAAAACAGATTAATTTAGTATCGGAGGCTTAGATTAAAACGGATTATAATAAAAATCGAAAGATAAGACAAATTTTTTTCGGTATAAAAGCAATTTTTTTATTTTCAATTTAGTATTAAAAAAGTGAGAGATTAAAATATGAAGGTGATTTTATTAGTCGCTCTTTTGAGCGTTGTAGGTAAGAATTACAACAAATATCTCTGGCAGAGTTAAAAATTATTGAAATTAATTCTTGAATAGGCCTAAACGCCTTTACTTTAACGAGAGATGTTCCAAAAGATGTCGTTGCTCAAGTTTTACCAATCCTGGGGGGAGAATCCCCTGAAGAAGCCCCAACCGCCGAAACTCTTCCAATCATTGGTGGAGAAACCCCATCTTTAGAGATCGGAAATCTCCCATCTCTTGGAGATCTTTTCCCTGTTATAGATGAAACTGAGTCTTTAGTTCCGGTGAATCCCATCATTGAAGGTGGTGAAACCCCAACGATCGAAGTTGGAAATCTTCCATCAATTGGAGATCTTTTCCCAAGTATTGACGAAACTGGACCTTTAGTTCCGGTGAATCCCATCATTGAAGGTGGAGAATCCCCTACCATTGAAATCGGTCACTTACCATCCATCGATTGGAGTTTAATTCCGTGCGAAATTCCAGAAGATATCTTGAAACCTCTTCCAATCCCAATCGAACCAGAAGAAGTCGAAGTTGTTCCATCTCCACTTCCACTCCCAATTAATCCAGGAGATTTCGAACAAGGAGTTGAAATCAATCCAAACCCACTCCCACTTCCAATCGATCCAGAAGTTGAAATTAATCCAAATCCACTTCCTCTTCCAATCGACCCAGAAGTTGAAATTAATCCAAATCCACTTCCTCTTCCAATCGAACCAGAAGAAGAAGTCGAGTATATTGAACAACTTCCAATCGTCCAGAAGTTGAAATTAATCCAAATCCACTTCCTCTTCCAATCGACCCAGAAGTTGAAATTAATCCAAATCCACTTCCTCTTCCAATCGAACCAGAAGAAGAAGTCGAGTATATTGAACAACTTCCAATCGTCATCAAACCACAACCACTTCCACTTCCAATCAATCCAGAACCCGAAATTAATCCAAACCCACTCCCACTTCCAATCGATCCAGAACCAGAAATTAATCCAAACCCACTCCCACTTCCAATCGATCCAGAAGATGGAAACATTGAAATCAACCCCAACCCTCTTCCACTTCCAATCGAACCAGAACACCCAGAAGTCGAAATCGAATATATCCCAGAAAATCCAATCAATGTTAAACCACAACCTCTCCCACTTCCAATCAACCCAATCGAACCTGAAATTGAAGTTGAATTGGTTCCTGAACCAGTAGTTCCAGAAATGCCAGAAATCGAATGGTTGCCAGAACCGGAAGGTGGAAACTCACTTCCAGTGAACCCATTACCATTACCACTTCCAATTGAACCAATCGCACCGGAAATGCCAGAAATTGAATGGTTACCCGAACCAGAAATTGATTGCGAAACTGATGATTCGGTTGAAATAATCTCTCCTGAAGTGTTACCTTTACCTATTGATCCAATTGAAGAAACCGAAGACGGTTTGGTTCATCCATCGAAACCACAAGTTCTTCCAATTAACAAACCTTAAATAATCAATAAGGTTTTGTACAATATATTTTTTTAATTATTAGTTAGAGATGTAGTTGTAGACATTATTGATTGTTGAAATGATGGTATATAATAAAACAGGTTATGTTTAACTTAAAGGTAATTGTAGAAAAATCCATTCCTTCTTAGCCTGGCTTAATTAAAAATAAATTAATATTAAATTTTCAACATGAAATTGAAATTGATTTTAGTGTCAGAACCAAATAACCTCGAATTGGTGAAAATATTGTAAATATTTTTGATGAAAATAACTGACGGTTAATTTTTAATTTTCTAATCTACAGGGTGTCTCAGCGAGACCGGTCATTTGGGTTCTGGCGAAAATAAAAATTTGAGAATTCAGACTTACGTATTATCAATTACGATCTCTTCGTCTAAAATATTTTCAAATTTCTTGCACTTCCGGTTACACCGGAAGTCGCCACCAACTTTATTTTTTTAAACGGAACACCCTGTATATTTTTACATATTTGGATTTGTCTGTTTTCAAGGTTTATAAATAACTTTACTTTTTGCAATTTGATTCGGTCGTTCTCGAGTTATTCGAATTTTTCTAGAAAAATCTGCTCTAGCAGACATTTGTTCAAAAAATCAGAAAACACTAAATTTTTGGGATACTAATTTAGGATTGAGAACATGCTTAAGCAACATGATTTTGGTGCCGAGAACTGCGGTCTAGAACGTTTGATCACTTTACTATGGCACGTTAACTTTTCAAAATTAGGAAGTACCATAACTTCATTTTTTTAAATGGCACCCCCCATATTTTATTTTTTAGTCGTCTCCGGTGTCTCATTCTACATCTTTTATATCCCATATGGCCCATACCTAATATTAATAGTTTGGGAGATAATTAGGGTTTTTTGAAAAATGCACACATATCATATGGATATTTAGCCTAGTGTGCCATGAAAAACAAGCCTTCTCAATGAGTTCTTGTCAAAGACTCACTTGTTTACGTCATTTGATGCATGTGAGCTAATAATTATCTGTTATGTCCCTTAATATTTGTACTGAAACGAGTTAAAATCGATAACAATAACGAAAGTAATATTTACACAAATCAAGAAATTCTTAATTTATTTTTTTTGCATGAAAAGCGCGACAAAGTTCGTAGCATGATTCCCACATCTTTATAAATAAATAAATCTTTAACAAAAAACAGAAAATTAAAAAAAAAATCACATAATCATTGCATATAAACAAAATAAAAAATCAATCCTAAGTTTAGCAAAAAATTAAATATCTAATTTTTGTTTATTTGGCATTAATGTGACGATTGCTGCTGCTCCTCTTCAATTAACTTTTCAATTGTGGGCTCTAAATTAGTCAGGCTAAGTCGGAGTGGTGAAACAACGGAAAGCCGATTTCTAAACTTATTTTTTATAACAGTCATAGCTGAAAATCCCGTTTCACATAAATACGTTGTTGCAAAAGGGAGTAACATTTTCATCGTTTTTTCGTATTCATTTCTCGTATTGACCCAAAATTTATCTAAAGATATACTTGAAAAATTTCTTTTCAACATTATGTTTTCTGAGCTACTCTCCAGGACGGACATATTCTCTGTGACTTAAATTTAATTGACTATTGTCATATGTTATGAAAGGGTTTGTTATCCACACATTTTTTTCATATTTGGTGTTTTCAGATGGAAAATATCTTTCGAAACTACTATTTAAAGATTGTAAGTGGTGTGCAATAATACTGTTTAATTTCGCTAGGTTTAAATCATGTTGTCAATTAACAAAATCATAATAATTATTGAATATATCAATATTATTACTATTTACTTTATTCAACCAAAAGTTAATTTTTTTCTTAAACGCAGCTATTTTATTAAACAAATGAAACGCATTTATCGCAGTTCCTTGTAAACTTAAATTTAACTCATTGGTATATGAATATATTTTGTTTAAATATGCGAGTTTTGCAACGCATTTTATATCTGATAAATGTACTTTTAAAGGATTCTTTTTGTCAATTAAAAATATTTCGACTTCCGTTCTTAGCTCAAAAAGCCTAGTTAAAATCTTACCTCGCGAAAGCCACCTCACTTCTGTGTGCAGCAATAATTGTTCATATTCTGCACCAGTCTCTTGACAAAATATTGCAAATAACCTACTATTCAAATCGCCTTTTTTTATAAAATTTATAATTTTTATAGATTCCGCTAAAACCTCATTTAATTCGGTTGATAGACTTTTCGCTGCTAAATGCTGTCTGTGGATTATGCAGTGGGTAATTAGGAAATCAGAATTAGCTACTTCCTGAATTCTTTTCGTAACACCACAATGTTTGCCAATCATACTAGCCGCCCCATCAGTACATACACCAACACAGTTTTTCCATTCTAAAGAGTGTTTAATAATATAAGCATTGAGTGCGTTAAAAACTTCAGAACTTGTTGTGTATGAAACCAATTCGATACAACACAGTAATTCCTCTTTTATTTCTTTAAAGACAAAATCAATGTATCTAACGTAACAAATTAATATGGCCTTTTTAGCAATGTCGCACGACTCATCAATTTGAATTGCAAAAAAAATTGATTCCTTTATCTTATGAATTAATTGAGACTCCACATTCTCTGATATTTTTTCAATTCTTCTTCTTATGGTATCATTAGATAAGGGAATTGTTTTAATTTTGTCAGCAGCGGAGGGTCCAAACATTTCTGAACAAACGTCTATTAANGTACACTTGATGGCATATAGTACCACCCATAAAGAGAAACATATTGTTCTGCTGTATCCTTGCAGTATTTATCAAACGCATTTATGTTTATCTCTCTCCCCGATGAAATTGTCTGAAGAATTACAGCAAAACGTTTGATTAAATTTTCATCGAGCTCTGTAATTTTGGCAGATTTATCAAAATTGTTGAAGAATTTTCGAGCAGTATTGCCATCATTAGTAGAGCCAACCCCCTGCTTTACCACATCAACTAAAATACCGAGTTCTTTACGAAATTTTGCTTGAATTTGTTTTTTTCTTGCATCCTTTAAAGGTGCATGCTCCTTTCGCGCACACCATCTCTTAAAATCCAGATTGTAGGATATGTGTATTAAACACTCAAAACATCGAATCCACATGTGAAGCGTTGATAATCCGTATTTTAAGACATCACATCTTACCTCTTTCGTGAGCACAACAGATAAATTATTCATTTCACTGGGCTTAGCTAAACAAACATTACAAGTAGAAGCGGAAGGAGTGTTTGACACTACAGTAGTAACCTTTCCATCTATCATGGTCATCACCATTTGATGTTTTATAGTAATGCCGTTAAAAAAGGTTGGTGTAAATCTGCCATTTCTTGCTTAATAACTACATTATTTTCTTTTATAAATTCAAATTTTATTGGACGGCAATAATGAGTAGAAGATGGGCGAGGATTTTCCCAAATCACGACATCATTTAGAGTTGACAATTTTAGGGGTACACAACTTGACATGAATATGAAAGAATCATCTGCATCTACATCGTTAAATGTTTGTTTGTAGTTACTCTGGCTGGAAGCTCCATCAAATCCCCATTTACTAATTAGCACTAGTTCTGTTGATTGCAATTTATCCAAGCAAGTTTTTAAAAGTCTCGATACCGTTAAATCCAGAAGAGCTTGAATTTTAATTTTTGCCGCAGTGTCCGTAACATTCATAGATTCTAAGGGTGGATAACAGGCCTTTTTTGCCATAGTCACCTTATAATATGATGGAATCAGTGACTTTCCTACAGAATCTCTCAAAGTATTGTATTGCCATTTTGATAAATTTAAAGATGTATAAAGAGCAAGGCTGTCATCAGGGGTTAATGTAGGCTTTTTTTTCTTTTTTTGAAATAATATATTAGATACTTTGGAAATATCTTCAGAATGTTTGAGAAGGTGGTTTAAAATCTTGGCCAGTTCGCGAGATCCATGTGTACCCATTTTTAATCTTGTTGCAAAGATAAGCTCATCCAAAGTATTTTCTGACCGCAGAGCGTTGGTCCTCCTCTTCTTCTGACGGTAGCTTAATTCCAAAAAGGGTCTTCTTTTAAATTCAGTTGAATTTTGTTGCGGACGTATTGTTTCTCCAAATATTTCATTTTTTAGACCCATCGGCCAATTAAATATTGAATGTAACCAAGCATGTTCTCGGATTAGGAAGCGCTTTTTATTATAACAACACTTCTTCCATCTTCTGAATAAATTTACACAAAATTTCCGAAGACACTCCTTCAAAATCTTCTGTTTGTCTTCTGATAAAATTCTGTCCATTGTTGACGCAATGGTATCGTAAAGTTCGCCATACTTCCATAATTTTTTATTTTTGTTCACGATGTTGAACAGATCTTCATTAGTTTTTAAATCCATAATGACTTTTTTCGAAAACTGCTATTAAAAGTTTACTTTTAAAAATGACAGTTTAAATTTTTGATTTCTCAAAAGTTAGGTTATGTTTATAAATTTTAAAATCATAGCCTACTCCAATTTAAAATTTAAAAATGACAAGACAGAATGTAATACTAAGGCTGGGTTCACACGGCACGTTTTTTTTGCAGAATACATTTTTACTGAATAAAAATCAAATCTTATCTTAAACAGTATATAACGCAATTTTGCAGTATAAACGACGAGTGAACAAATCTATGCTGATTGCGTTACTATTATTCAGTAAAAAACTGTCTTGTAAAAAAAAGTGCGTGTGAACCCGGCTTAAGCCTATAATCTTTGACTAATCTTTTTGTGGTAGTAAATATTAACCTTGCACCTTAGAATAATTTTTTAAAAACTTGAAAAATATCAATTTTTAGTAAGGAACAGCGGGACAAATAATATCGAAAATATCCTTTGGTCGGATGCGGTCGGATAAGATATCGATAGTTTCCCATAGTAGACACTATAGCTAATCTACCTACGCTAATAGTTCATCTTGCACTTTTGAGCATTTTTTTATAAACATCGAAATATATATATATATATTTTAGAAATTAGGGT